GGTTCAGAAGAGGAGAAAATGCAGGACATACTGGTCCCTGGAAGAGGATTCCCTGTGTGACAAGAGGGAGCTGTCCAGCTATCAAGCCTGGTAACTGCAGGTGGTGAAAAAAACTATAGTTGTAAATATTTGACTGACCTCCCCACTGATACGTAGAGAGGAGAGAGATGTGAGGTTGGTAAAAGAGGGCTGCTAGGAGACCTGCTGGGATGGGGCCTGCCTGCAAGCCTGCTTCAGAAGAAGAGAAAACTCAGGACTTACTGGTCCCTGGAAGAGAATCCCCTGTGTGGCAAGAGGGAGCCGTCCAGCTAGCAAGCCTGGTATCTGCAGCCATCCAGAATATGTGAAGGATAGACACCTGAGTGAGTACACCTGTACCCCTTTGGCGGATAGGAGAAGGAGCACTCTGGTGGGAAACCAGATTAGCCCCCTTCTAGTGACTGTGTGCCTATTGAGGAAACAGGATCCAGATCCCCTTGTTCAAGATAAAAGGACTACTTACAGACTGCCGGGTGGAGGAGGAGTTCATCTGGGGTCTGGGCTACTACTAATGGAGTTGCTGGCTAGCACTCCAACAGTGAGGCCTTAAAGGTGAAGTTGTACATAGTTCAGGAATTTGGCCTTGAGAATTCATTCCATTGGGCATCCTATGCACTCCTATACCCCATCCAAGTTCAATCCCTCAAATAAAACAACAAAACCAACGCCGATTTCCTGTCTATGGATGCATGGCTGTGGGAGAATAATAAAGGACTGGCAGTGCAGAACTATTGAGGAACCCAAACCATTACAAATTCAACAGCAACCCCTAAGGGGGTAGACAATAACGTACACTGATTTGGGTTATTTTTATAAAAGAAAAGTAGCAGAATACATTTTGTCCTAAATTTAAGAAGAAAGAATTATTTATTTTACAACATTTTATAATAGAGACTTGTGTAAGCCAAGATTGATTAAGAAGAAGATAGAGACATTGATTCTGGAGGGATTTAATTGGTCATCTGTAGACATTTCAGGGAATAGCCTGGAGATTTGCCAACATTTGGGAATAAATATTTTCTAACAACGTTGATGTATAACAAGACCCCAGAGGGTATATTCCTCACACATAAAACACCCAGAAAATCAACCCTGATAATACACACAACACATGGAACTCTATCCACATCAACCGGAGTGCTGTGTCGGAAAGGAGGAAGATTCTATAATACAATTCAAGTTCATTTTGGGATTTGAGATTGAAAGAATAAATTCTATCTTCCTGATTCCCTTTGTAATTTCAGCTCAGCTCAGGGTCGTATACCTCCTACCTAGCTGAAACAAGAAGGACACAGGCAATGATTACTGAACCTTCCTCTTTTTATAATCACACCAACAATTGGCATCTATAATGTTTATGTATAAATCCAGGTAAGATATAGAAATATAGAATCCTAAAAGAGTGTCAACAGAAGAGTCCAAGTGGTCCAACAAGTCTGTCCTTTTTATGATTTTTTTGTGTTTTTTACTTTCTTTTAAAGCTTTTTGTGTGAGTATAGTTTTGTTTGTCCCAATCATGCTTATTCGTTGTTGATTGGCTCCTTACTTCTGCCTGTTCCAAGCATCAAATACTCTTTTCTAAACCTCTTTAGGACCACGCATCCCAACTGTACTGCGGACAAGCAGCTCCTACAGGCACAGCGACGTACCTGTAATCGCTACCTGTTTCTGGGTTCAGGGAGCAACCGCGCACTCCCACCTGCCGATACGGTGGGATTTTGTCAGCAGGTTCCAGCCAACAATTCATGAATAGGACCTGCTGACCGGCTGTGTCCAATCACAGCCCAGACCCTGTGTTGACAAACAGCACATGGTTTTGTACAGCGGGAACAACATTTTTTGTTTCTTCTCCCTGCACAGCAGGGAGAAGGAACAAAGAGATTTTTAGTAAAAAGCAGCACACTTTACACAAATTAACACTTGTTAGGCACACAATTAACCCCTTGATTACCCCGAGATGTAACTCCTTTCCATCCAGTATCTTTAGTACAGTGACAGTGTATAGTATTATCACTGTATTAGTGTCACTGGTGATGTCAGTGTCAGTCTATCTCCTACCCATTGTTAGTGTCAGATTGCCCGCCGCAGTATCACTGTCCCACTATAAGTCACTGATCATCGCCATTACTAGTCTAAAACAAAACCCAGCATATACTGTATACAGGGGCGGATTGACTATTTGGAAACTCGGGCACTGCCTGAGGGCCCGGGTCAGTAGCGGGCCCCATGAGATGCCCCTGGTACCTTTTTCATAGGATTTTTTGAGTTTGGGCAAGGACACAGGGGCCCCATGATCCCCTATTGCCCAGGGGGGCCCATGAGCTGTCAGTCTGCCCCTGACTGTATACCATAGTTTGCAGACGCAATAACTTTCACACAAACAAATTATTATTCACGTATTGTGATTTTTTTTTTTTACCAAAGACATGTAGCAGAATACATTTTGGCCTAAATTTATAATTCATTTCTTCATATTTTTATTGGATTTACTTTTTATAGCAAAAAGTAAAAAATATTGTTTTTTTTTTCAAAATTTTCAGTATTTTTTTTCTTGTATAAATTAAAAAAACTCAATGGTGATCAAATACCACCAAATTTGTGTGAAAAAAAAATATAAATTTAATTTGGTTATAGTGTTGCATGACTTTGCAATTGCCAGTTAAAGTAGCACAGTGCTGAATAGCAAAATAATGTCTGGTCATGAAGGGGGTAAAACCTCCCAGAGCTCAATTTGATCCTAACTGAATATTGAGATTCTCACTTCTTATATTTTCCCTTAGACATTTCACCATTTTTGTTGGTCTTTTTTCTTATGAATATCTTTTATTATAAGTGAGGTTGAAAGATAAAGATCAATATTAAGAAATCAGGACTCCCTTCCCCTTCTGGGACACTTTTAATGATATAAAGATTTATATAGAAGAATCAGGACCTTCTTCCTCCTGCCGGTGATCCCTCTAGTGATATAAAGATCTATATAGAGGAATCAGGACCTCCTTCCTCCTGCCGGTGACCCCTCTAGTGATATAAAGATCTATATAGAGGAATCAGGACCTCCTTCCTCCCGCCTGTGACCCCTCTAGTGATATAAAGATCTATATAGAGGAATCAGGACCTCCTTTCTTCTGCTGGTGACCCCTCTAGTGATATAAAGATCTATATAGAGGAATCAGGACCTCCTTCCTCCTGCTGGTGACCCCTCTAGTGATATAAAGATCTATATAGAGGAATCAGGACCTCCTTCCTCCCGCCGGTGACCCCTCTAGTGATATAAAGATCTATATAGAGGAATCAGGACCTCCTTCCTCCTCCCGCCGGTGACCCCTCTAGTGATATAAAGATCTATATAGAGGAATCAGGACCTCCTTTCTTCTGCTGGTGACCCCTCTAGTGATATAAAGATCTATATAGAGGAATCAGGACCTCCTTCCTCCTGCTGGTGACCCCTCTAGTGATATAAAGATCTATATAGAGGAATCAGGACCTCCTTCCTCCTGCCGGTGACCCCTCTAGTGATAGGATCAATATAGAGGAATCAGGACCTCCTTTCTTCTGCCGGTGACCCCTCTAGTGATATAAAGATCTATATAGAGGAATCAGGACCTCCTTCCCCCTGCCAGTGACCGCTCTAGTGATATAAAGACCTATTTAGAGGAATCAGGACCTCCTTCCTCCTGCCAGCGATTCCTCTAGTGATATAAAGACCTATATAGAGAAATCAGGACCTCCTTCCTCCTGCCAGCGATTCCTCTAGTGATATAAAGACCTATATAGAGGAATCAGGACCTCCTTCCTCCTGTTGGTGACCCCTCCGGTGATATAAATATCTATATGGAGGAATCAGGACCTCCTTTCTCCTGCTGGTGACCCCTCTAGGAATATAAAGATCTATATAGAGGAATCAGGACCTTGTCTTCCTGCTGGTGACCCCTCCAGTGATATAAAGATCTATATAGAGGAATCAGGACCTCCTTCCTCCTGCTGGTGACCCTCTAGTGATATAAAGATCTATATAGAGGAATCAGGACCTCCTTCCTCCTGCCGGTGACCCCTCTAGTGATAGGATCTATATAGAGGAATCGGGATCTCCTTCCTCCTGCCGGTGACCCCTCTAGTGATATAAAGATTTATACAGAGAAATCAGACCTCCTGCGGTGATCCCTCTAGTGATATAAAGATCTATATAGCAGAATCAGGACCTCCTTCCTCCTGCTGGTGACCCCTCTAGTGATATAAAGATTTATACAGAGTAATCAGGACCTCCTTCCTCCTGCCGGTGACCTCTCTAGTGATATAAAGATCTATATAGCAGAATCAGCACCTCCTTCCTCCTGCTGGTTACCCTCTAATGATATAAAGATCTACAGTATACAGGGAAATCAGGACCTCCTTCCTTTGCCTGGTGATTCTTCTAGGGAGGAATCAAAGATTTTTTTTTGCTTTTCCCATCGCATGGCCACACTGTGTTCTCATTTTTCAATCATCTGAAATATACACCCCAAATTGTAGTATTCTGTCGTTCTGTCATGACCCATGTTGTGACCCTTGGACTAAGATTTGAACTGAAGCCAGTTTTTCTTTCATCTTACACTGAGAATACAATGATGAGCCTTGCCTACATTCCTATTGGTCAGTTGGGTAGCCCATAATAATAAGTCATTTGGAACCTGTTGAATGAGATGCAAAGTTTCAGCAGTACCAGGAAATGTCGGACTTCTGCCTGTCAGAACCTTCTGTCCTTCTAATGCTTTGGCATTTGTGCATAACAGAAGGGTTGGGCATGTGGCTTCCAAAGGTATGTATAGGCACCTCTAGGTTTCTGCACTACTGGCAATTTTTGTTTATACTGGAGACAGAATTGTTTTTTCTCTTATAAATTGTGTACCCTAAATTTATGATATGGGTTATCAATGATTACAGGGTTGGATTGTTCTCACCATCCTTAGTGGTCATCTGAAAAAATGAAGGACATCAATCAAACCAAAGTATCGGAGTTCATCCTACGTGGGGTGTCAGATGTCCCATACCTCCAGTTGCCTTTGTTTATGGTGTTTTTCCTCATTTATCTAGCATCACTGGTTGGGAATTCCCTGATTGTCCTTCTGATATGCCATGATTCTCACCTCCACACTCCCATGTACCTATTTCTGTGTAACCTGGCTGGGCTGGATATTTTCTATTCCTCTGTCACCTCTCCAAAGATTCTCACAGATTTCTTTTCTAAAGTCAAGACAATTACTGCTTCTTCATGTATCACTCAGTTCTTTTTCTTTTTCTCCTTTATATGCATTGAACTGTATTTGCTGGCTGTGATGTCTTATGATAGATATATCGCAATCTGTCACCCTTTGCATTATATCCAGATAATGCACCCCAAGATTTGTGCTCAAATGGTGTCCGCATCTTGGGTCATTGGGTTCCTTACCTCATTGATACATACCCTCTGTATTCTGAGACTGAACTTCTGTGGCCCCAATGTCATCAACAGCTTCTTCTGTGACCTCCCTCAGTTGTTTCTATTGTCTTGTACTGATACTTTCATTAACGTCTTTGTCATGTTCCTTGTTGGTATCTTAATGGGTTCCGGTGCTCTTAGTATGACCTTTGTACCATATATCAGGATATTTCGCACCATCATGGGGATTCACTCCCAGAAAGGAAAGATGAAGGCCTTTTCCACATGTACTTCCCACCTAACAGTAGTCTTCATCTTTTATGGAACTCTCATCTTTACCTACCTCCGTCCTAACCCCACTTCCACTGCTTCAGAAGATCGTCTTGTGTCCATCGTCTACACAGTGCTTACACCACTCCTCAATCCCTTGATTTACAGCCTACGGAACAAAGATTTCAAGGCAGCACTGAAGAGAATTTTGTACAGCCTAGGCTTGAGCAAAATTGACACAGAATAACAATGCCAATTGTAAAATGAATGAGCAGTATTTAATTGACCTATGTCCTAACTCCACCTCCAATGCTTCAGAATATCATCTTGTGTCTATCATCTACATGGTGGTTATACCACTCCTCAGTCCCTTGATTTGCAGCCTAAAGAATAAATATTTCAAGGCTAGAATAGAGAAGAATTTTGTACAGCATAGGATTGGAAAAAGTTGGCACAGAATAACAAAGCCAATTGTGCAATGGATGAGCAATCTTTTCCTCCCTCCATCCTAACTCACCCATCACTTCTTCAGAAGATCATCTTGTGCCTATCATCTACATGGTGATTACACCACTCCTCAATCCCTTGATTTACAGCTTACAGAATAAAGATCTCAAAACAGCACAGAGGAGAATTTTGTACTGCAAAGCATGGGAAATTCTGGCACAGCATAACAATGCCAATTGTGAACTAGACGAACAATTTAATTTTATGTAACAATACACTTACAAGTCAACAAAAAAGTCATTTGTAACCTGATAACAATTAGCATAAAGCGGTAGTAAACTGCATCCAAAAAAAAAAAAAAAAATCCCCTGCAAAGTAAAGGCATATTGTGCTAGTATGCATTGTATACAATGAGGCATCTCCTACTTTATGTAAAACTTACCCTAAAATTAACCCTTCTAGCAGCATGCTGTCGCCTCTGTAGAGGCTTCCATCTTCACCCGGTCTTCCTTTCAGGTCCGGCCAACTGACTGGTTGAGCCATGAGGACGTCACTCGTTTGCATGCACAAGGGAGTCTCGGGACACGGGTCAGTGCTCTGATGGAACAGTACCAGATCTATAATACAAAATGAATATCTCCTAAACAGTGTATGTTTCATTTTTATTAATTTTACCTACAAGAAAGATTTATTATAAGCTTACCTGTAGGTAAAAATTAACAAAGTGGCTTTACCACCTCTTTAACCCCCCTGGTGGTATTCCCGAGTGTAGCTCGGGGTAAAATTTCAGTACCAAGAGCGGTAACCCCCCTGAGCTACACTCGGGCTTACCATGCGGCGTTGCTCAGGGAGTCCCTGCAGAGCTTACCTTGTCCTTCGCTCCCGCAATGTGTCCATTGCAGCGCCCACGGCCATCTCCTCCGGTCGATGCCAGCATCCGGCTTCCGTGTTCCGGTCCCTGTGACGTCGGGACGTACGGCTCCGGAACCGGCGGCAAATTTGAAATTTTTTCAAAAAATTTCATTTTTTAAAAAATTATTATTATATAGTAAAACATTGCTGTTTCAATGCATTTCACATACATTTTGTCCCGAGTGCTTTGTCCGGAGCCCTGCCTACATTTTGACTGTTCTTTCTGCCTGGAAACTTAGAAACGTCCATGGCGTCCAAAAAACGTCCCTTTATGTCAAAAGCGGTTTTTGACCAACTAGAGAACAGCGATAGTAAATCAGAACCACTTGCAGAATTGAGTGATAATGATTCGTGGGGGAAATTCGTCATCAGACACTGAAAACGATTCTGCGACTGAGCTCAGCGATGTGCGAATTTGCCTCTGTATTTCAAATTTTAGTGTTTTTGGTTTGATTATATTATTGAATTAAATTTATTATTATTATTATATTATTATTTTTTTATGATTATTAATTAAATTATAATTTATGATTTCGTGTTTCAAGTTTTATCATATCCGGAATGTTTACTAGACTCTTGTTCGGACAGATTTCAGTGAGTTATTCCTAAAAATTACAGGCCTACAACAAAAAAACTACATATTTCCATGCAAAAAAATGCACCAAAAATTGAAAATATTCATACCGCCAGGGAGGTTAAGCAAGAAAGAGCTATAACTCTCTCAGGGTTTATTCTCCTCTCCCTATCCTCTCCCTCTCCTCCATGTATTCTATTTTATATCTATTATTAAAAGTTTAAATAGTTACTGTTTTAATTGGAGGATTCCACTATGTGACGCCACACCCTGTTTCCTGCTCAGTGCAAACATTTGAGGCCAGATAAATGCTTACCAGCTGCTAATAGCACATGTGATTTGTGTATTCTCTTCCTCCCTCTCCTTCTCCTTTTTTTTTTATTTTTCTTTGATTTTATTTGTTTATTTATTTTTTACCGTTTCAATAAAAAAGTGGCAAAAATTAAACAAAAAGCCTTTTTCTTTGTTATATAAATAACCTTGACATTTTGTGTACCAGAATCATAATTTTAGTATAATTTTTCATGGAGTTTTGAAATAACTTTTATGATTTTTACCAAAGTAAATTTTTTTTATTCAATTAACATAATTCAAAGTAGATTTTTTTTCTAAATAAAAGCATATCATAAAAAGTAACCTTTGTTTGTCCTACAACAATATATACTAATTATTATTATATTATTTTATTTAATTACAAAATTATTCCTGAATAAACAGACCCATAGCAGAAATGCCAACATTTCATCCATAGTGGAGAGAAGGAAGGGGGGGGGGAGGAGGGGGTGTACAACAATGTCTCTGCAGAATTGACAAACGATTGACAATCATTAATGAGTCAATAACTGCTGATATCCACCTGGCTTTTGGGGGCAATAGCTATTATACAATGTACTGTATATGCAGTGTCAGCTGCCACTTTCTTCTGATCTATTTAACCTGTTTACAAGTATTATAATTGAAGGTTTGTTGAGTTTGGGAGTCAAACACCCCAGACCTAGTCAGATGTATTCAGATTCTGCCAAAGGCCCGGAACAGGGTTGCAACTCCGGGTGAGATAGTTCAACACCCAGTTGTAGTCACCCTGACTCTTTTACAGTCTGCTGTGAGCTGTAAGGAGGATGGCAAAGGGTCTCATCTACCAGCAGGTGGGTAGCTGTCCTATCCAAGAAGAAGTGGGTGGGGGATGGCACAGTTTTGCACCAACACACAGTAAATCGTAGTCCCCTTTTCAAGCAGGAGGAGGGAGGTCCTGATTCCTCTATATCAGCCTTTTTCAACCATGGTGCCTTTAGGTTTCTTCAGGAGTTCCTTGGCAAAATGCCTAAAAATTGCCCAAATATTGTATGCAAGCCAGCAGATGGATGAAAACCTGCCATTTCATTATACAAAGCCACAGATGCACCATTACAACCTTCCAGCCACTGACATCATAACAACCAATGATGTCTTCAGTTGAGTACAGCATACGTATTTGTCCCTCCCCTGCCTCTTTTATCAGCACTGGGCTCACATTAGCTGAATGAGGGAGAAAAACTGAGGGAGAAGAAGAAACTCTGGAATAATAGTCAGTACTAGTGTGCAAGTATGTATTTGCTTTGGAAAAATAAATCACCTCCAACATTGGACGTCCTATTTGTATAGATGTTACAGTATGTACAACCTTTAGTTTATTTTTTTTACATTTTAGAGTGGGGTGTCTATTAAAGTGTGCATCATTTTAAAGGTTGAGAAACACTGCTCTATATAGATATTTATATCACTAGAGAGGTCACCGGCAGGAGGAAGGAGGTCCTGATTCCTCTATATAGATCTTTATATCACTAGAGGGAGGTCACCAGCAGGAGGAAGGAGGTCCTGATTCCTCTATATAGATCTTATATCACTAGAGGGGTCACCGGCAGGAGGAAGGAGGTCCTGATTCCTCTATATAGATCTTTATATCACTAGAGGGGTCACCGGCAGGAGGAAGGAGGTCCTGATTCCTCTATATAGATCTTTATATCACTAGAGGGGTCACCAACAGGAGGAAGGAGGTCCTGATTCCTCTATATAGATCTTTATATCACCAGAGGAGGTCACCGGCAGGAGGAAGGAGGTCCTGATTCCTCTATATAGATCTTTATATCACCAGAGGGGTCACCAGCAGGAGGAAGGAGGTCCTGATTCCTCTATATAGATCTTTATATCACTAGAGGGGTCACCGGCAGGAGGAAGGAGGTCCTGATTCCTATATAGATCTTTATATCACCAGAGGGGTCCGGCAGGAGGAAGATTCCTCTATATCTTTATATCACCAGAGGGTCACCGGCAGGAGGAAGGAGGTCCTGATTCCTCTATATAGATCTTTATATACTAGAGGGGTCACCGGCAGGAGGTCCTGATCCCCTATATAGATCTTTATATCACTAGAGGGGTCAACAGCAGGAGGAAGGAGGTCCTGATTCCTCTATATAGATCTTTATATCACTAGTGGGATCACCGGCAGGAGGAAGGAGGTCCTGATTCCTCTATATAGATCTTTATATCACTAGAGGTGTCACCAGAAGGAGGATGGAGGTCCTGATTCCTCTAAGATCTTTTGTCAGGCCTTATTTATGATACTGTGTCCGGTTTCAGTTTTTTGGAGACCTCACTTAAAAAAAAGATATTGATAAGATTTCAGGGACAGGCAACCAAAAGAGTATAAGGTCTGATGGATAAAGCATATTAGAGACATCGAATTTCCCCATCAGAGGGCCCATTTAGATCCATTCCCCCATCAGAGTGCCCCCTTAAATACATTTCCCCATTAGCATGCCCCCTTACATCAATTGTCCATATCAGATTGTCCCTGTACATGTTAACACCAGGCAAATGAGAAAGTGGGAGCCAGGAGGTGAAACAGGTGGCAGGTCTGGATGGGGGAATTTCCACTTCCATCCTCACATTTAGTGCTGCAGGCAAGCCTTGTACATGATGCCAACAAACCACTGCAGAGACTGGGTCATGGCTCACTGCATGGGCTGATCTTGAAGATCTTCACCCCCATATATCCAGGTCTGTCTACCATCCCCCTTAGTCTGTTATATAAGGTGCTGCACAACCCGATCCCTCCTAGAACCAGATTTGACCCAGCCAACATGAACCCTGAACCATTAATCCTATTACTCCTATCCTTGAGTCCTTGCACTAGTTACAGTACCTCTCAAGTTTCGCTTTGACTTCAAAATCCTCATACCAACCTATAAAGGCTCTATACAGCTTGGCCCACCATTATCTGTCTGAACTTACAGTATATCATCCTACTGCCCCCTTGTAACCGTCACTCCTCTAAATCTGATCTTCTGTGTGTTCCTCAGACCCATCTATACCATGGGGTATGGGGCCTTCACCTGTTATGCCCCAAATGTCTGGAATTATCTTCCCAAGAACATTAAAGGTTCAAACAGAAGACTTTCTTCTTTAGATAAGCTTTTGCCTAACCTTTCCTTGTTTTTACTTGTCTTACAGATCATTTGCTTTTGTTTCTTTTGTAAATTGCTGTGAGAGGGTAACTTTAAAGGCATTATACGTATAACATGAAGTTGATTATTATTATTATTTTGAATTATGTATTCTTCTTCTTAATAATATTACTATTAACACCAATGCTGGACATATACTTTCTCTGTTTAAAAATGCTGGAGTGTAAACTGGACAGATCTTTGCTTTTTTTTATTGTGCATTGCCATGTATAACTCTTCATACAACCGGAGCCATGGATAAGGGCGTGCAACCAGTCCTCCTGTACAGGGTCCAGGCCAGC